CAGCAGCAGCAGCAGCTGCGGCAGCAGACCGCTCGCCTGCTAGCAGCAGCAGCAGCTGCTGCTAACTGCTGGGCTTGGAGTTGACCTCCTCTCAGCTCTTCTCAACATATTAAGAGCGCAGGGGGCGTGTGGGGCTGAGTTTTGCTGCATCTTCTTCCGCAGCAGCAACGGGGCACAGCAGCAGCAGCAGCAGCAGCAGCAGCTGCAGCAGCAGCAGCAGCTGCAGCTGCTGCTGCTGCTTCTGCTGCAGCCTGCAGCAACAGTTCACCAGTTTGCTACCTTCACGAAGGATCTTCCTTCAGGAGCTGCTGCCGATGGAGACGCTCCCATCTGCAGCAGCAGCGGCAACAGCAGCAGCAGCAGCAGCTGCAGCAGCAGCAGCTTGAGCTGCAGCAGGATCAAGTTGATGTGAATCTGTGTGTCTCCTCTTGCTGCTTGCTTCCCTCTGCTTGTTGGGCATTGCTGCAATTCGCAACAGCAGCAGCAGCAGCAAACGACGAGGAAAGCCAGCAGCAGCAGCAGCAGCAGCAGCAGCAGCAGCAAAAACGAAGGAAAGATGTCTCCTTTACAGCCAGCAGCAGCGGCAGCAGGACCCGCATACAAGGTGAGGCAGACGAAGCAGACAAGCAGCAGCAGCAGCAGCAGGAACAGCAACAGCAACAGCAACAGCAACAACAACAGCTGAGGCAGCAGGTGCCTCAGGATGAAGCACCTGCAGCGCAGCAGCGAGACCAGCAGCAGCAGCAGCAGCGAGATGCGCCGCAGCAGTCGCAGCAGCGGCAACAGCAGCAAGACAAGCAGCAGCAGCAGCAGCAGCAGCAAGATCAGCTGCAGCAGCAGAAGCAGCCTATGCGACAAAGGGCCCAGGGGGGCGTGCAGAATAGTAAGCAGAAAGTGCGGCCGCCGCTGCTGCTGCAGCAGCAGCAGCAACAACAACAACAGCAACTCTCACAGCAGCATCAGCTTTCACAGCAGCATCAGCTCTCACAGCAGCATCAGCTTTCACAGCAGCAGCTGTCGACTCCGCCTGCAGCTTCACCTCCGGCTTCGCAACAGCAACAGCAGCAGCAGCAGCAGCAGCAGCAGCTGTTACAAGAGAACAGGCTGCTGCGCAGCTGCCCTTCAGGCTTGCGGCTGAGAGACCTTCCGCCCCTTACTTTTCCGAGGCCAGCAGCAGCACTCAGCAAATTAACGCAGCGCTTAGGGCGTCTACCTGCTTATCAAGGAAAGGTAAGCAGCAGCAGCTGCAGCAGCTGCTGCTGCAGCTGCTGCAGCAACAGCTGCAGCAGCAGCAGTAGTAGTAGTACGAGTAGCAGTAGCAGCAGCATTTGCATATTTTGCTTCTTATGCGTGGTTATATCTTTTTTTATATGAAAATATACATATAAATATAATATATAATATATATGTTGTATATATATTATATATATGTTGTATATATATAATATATATATGTTATATATATGTTATATACGTATATATATTATATGCACATGTGTTCAAATATGTATAGATATATATATATTATATATATATATATATACATATTCATATGTAGTATATATATTATACATATATGAATATATAATAATATACATATATATTATATATATTATATAAATAATATTTATATAATTTATATATATTATATATATAATATATTATATATATGTAATATATATATATATATATTGTGTGTGAATGGAGGAGGCAGTAAATAGGGTGTATCTCTATAATTAATATATAATTAATACTTGTAATAAACATAATATAATATAATTATTATATAATATATATATGTGATATATATATATATATATATTTATATTTATATTTATATTTATTTATATTTATTTTTCAGGAAGCAATAAAAAAAGTATATCCTTAGAATGCATGCACATAATAAACATCTGTTTTCATCTGCTTCTACAGTATAATCACATAATACATACACAACATATAATAACTATATAATCATAATAATATAACAATATAATAATAATATATTTTTATTTATATTTGTTCACAGGAGGCGATTAAAAAAGTATATCCTTTCGGGGTGCCCTTAGAAGTGCGGAGTATTTTCTCGGGTTTACAGATTCAGCTCGTGCTGCACGCTGTCTTAGGTGCAGGAGGACAGGGAGTAGTGCTCTTAGTAAGTATTCACATACCTAGCTAGCTAGCTAGCTACCTAGCTAGCTACCTAGCTAGCTAGCTATGTAGGTAGCTAGCTATGTAGGTAGCTAGCTATGTAGGTAGCTAGCTATGTAGGTAGATAGGTAGGTAGATAGGTAGGTAGGTGGGCAGCTAACTAGCTATGCAGAGAGCTAGCTAGCTAGCTAGCTAGCTTGCTAGATAGATAGATAGATATACGCGTAGCTAGCTATGCAGCTAGATAGCTAGCTGTTTAGCTACACAGCTAGCCATTGAAACAGCCTTTCAGCTATTAATTTAGCTTGATATGTCGGGTGATAGAATGCGTTTCTGCGAATTAATAATT